TTCGTTAAACAACTACTCCAGTCCACCCTTCCAGAGTGATTTGCCTTTCTCAACAAGGACTTAATCCACTATTAAATCAAACTGATTACAATAGTATCACCTAAGAACTACAGTTCTTAGTCTTCTCAAGAGCTACAGATTCTTAACTGAATCCTCTTAAGGAATATCCTTTACAAACAATGTAAATTAAATACAAGAGTTTTTAATGCTTCTATAAAGCTATAATCACAACAGTGATTTTTCTCTTAAGTTAAAGTACAATGAGATTCTATGAAGAATAAGAATGAGAGCTTATAGAATATTATGATTTCTTTTCAGCAAGCGTGTAACTGAAGAATGAAGTGAGGATCTCCTTTTATAGGCAGCTGAATCATGCAAGCTGAACGTTGAAAAGAGAGTCTCAAAGGTCTGAGCCTTTTTGTCTTCACATGAACTGACCTTTCCTTGAAATAGATGGCACAGAAAAATCCTTTTTGTCTGTGTAAGTGTGTCTAGCACAAATAAGGAAAGAGACGTTGAATAGTTCCAACGGATATATTCTTGAAAACACTTCTTCAGTTTCAGCAAGTTCTTCAGAGTCTGAATGGATCAGAGTCTTCTGATGAGATTCAGAACTATGCTGTATCAGAGTCTTCTGCAGCGTGTGTGCTTCTAGCATGTTGATCATCAGAGCATTTTGACACAGAACTTCAGTACAAGGCAGCGTAGGTACTTTCAGAAACTTCTGTAGACTAATGCTTTGAGAAACTCTTCAGTCAATATTCTTCTATACTTCTGATGCTTCAGCTTCAGATGCTTCTGACTATCTTCAGATGCTTCTGATTATCTTCAAATGCTTCTGACTCAGAATGTTCTGGAGCTTCTTTCTTCAGATCCTTCTGGAGACTACGCTCAGGATCTTCTGTAAGGAGCAAACAGATTCTTCTGTAAGGTGCATCTGGCGCTTCAGAGTCAGAATAGCTTCTTGTATTCAAGGCAGATTTGCTTCTAGAGAGTTAATATAATATTAATCTGCAATAAAACTCTCAAACAAATTTTAGAGTATATAATTCTTAAATATAAATTTCCTAACAGTTATCATCAAAACAAAGAGTAATTATTAAGAACCAATCTGTGTTCTAACACTATTGATCCCAACTGGATCTTCTTGAGGATCGTTTACAATCAAATGTAAGAATAAAACAAGTGTTTAAATGCTTCTAATTAAGCTATATCATAACTGTGATTTTACACTTAAGATTTAAGAGCTTAGAAATGAATTCAGCAAGATAAAGATTTGTATGAGAGCTTGTAATGAATTTATTTCAAAGATTTCGTCAACTGAAGAAGAGTGATGGAGTCTTGCTTTTATAGGCACAGAGGTCCAAGAAGTCTTTCACGTTGAAGGTTGTGTACTGAAAAGGTCTGAACTTTTTTGTCTTCACATCACATGACCTTTCCTAGAAGTAGAATGCACAGATAAATCCTTTTTGTCTGTGTTCTTGTGTCTAACATAAATGAGGAAAGAGTCATTTGGCCAAACCAACGGACATAACTTTGAATTCTTCTTCAATAAGTTTCAGCAAATAACATCAGAGTCTAAAGTGATTAGAGCCTTCTAATGTTCATCAGAGTTTGCTGAATCAGAGCAATGCAGTAAGTGTGCTTTCAGCGTGTAATTATTCAGAGCAGAGTTGGGATCAGATCCTCAGTACTGGCAGCGTAGTACTATCAGAGTCTTCTGAAATAAACTAAGCTTGAAACTCTTCATACAGAATTCTTCAATGCTTCAGATGCTTCTGGCTTCTGCTTCAGATTCTTCTGTAACTTCTGCTTCAGATCCTTCTGTAGATGGTACTCAAAATCTTCTATAGACAGCGTTCAGAATCTTCTAAAAGATGCTTCTGACGCTTCAGAGCCTTGCATAAATTCATGTTCAGATCTAATTTGCTTCCAGAATAATATTCACTTTAATATCTGCAGCAAATAATCTTAAACAAATTTTAGAGTATATAATTCTTTAATACAAAATTTCATAAGAGTTATCATCAAAACATAGAGATATAATTAAGAACCAATTTGTGTTCTAACAGGATTCACATTCTCAACTGGAGTCTCAGTTGAGACTGGATTCACTTCATCATAATCAAATTTCATTGGAACCTGCATTGGAACCACTCTTGTTCTTTCTCCACCTTGATTTCAATCTCAGGATTCTAGTTCTCTGATGATTACATCTCTACTAATCACCAATTTCTCATTAATTGGATTATATAACCTATATGCTCAAGTTGAATGGTAACCAACTAATATCATAAGTTCACCTTTATCTTCAAGTTTGGTTCTTCTTTCATTTGGCACATGTCTATAACATAATGATTCAAATACCTTGAGATGAGTGATACAAGGCTTGCTTCCTGACCAACATTGTTCTGGCACCTGATTCTTGAAATTCTTGATAGGGTATTTATTTAGAATATAAGAAGCAGTAGACACTGCTTCACCCCATAATTTATGAGGCAATGAATTTTGTTTCAGCATACTTCTAGCCATTTCAACCAAGCTTTTATTCCTTCTTTCAGACAAACCATTGTGCTCAGGTGTATAAGGGGAGTTACTTCATCAACATTCCACTTTCATGACAAGATTTCTTGAATTCATAGGAATTGTATTCCCCTCCTCCATCTGTCCTAAGTATCTTAATCAGTCTTCCACTCTGTTTTTCAGCCGTAGCCTTAAACGTTTTGAATATGTTTAAAGCTTCTCCTTTGGTCTTTATCAAGTACACCCATAACATTCTACTGAATTCATCTACAAGTGAGATTAAGTACTTAATTCCTCCATAAAAAAGAGTTTCAAAAAGACCAAAAACGTCATATGAAACTATATTCAGTACATGTTTAGCTCTCATTGATAACTGCTTCACAAAAGGTAACCTACTTTGCTTCCCAAGCATGAAAATGTCACATGCTTTATTAGTTGCACTATCTTAGGCAATCCTTCTAATAACTTCATAGTATTCAGCTTGCCCAGACTTCTAAAATCCAGATGCCCATACCTTTTGTGCCAAATTCAGCTTTCTTCATCAGGAATTCATGAGTAAAGACATTGTGATTCTAATGCCTTCAAGCTAGCCTTCCAAATTCTTTTTCTTGTCATATTTGATTTTAGAACCATTCTTTTCTTCTTGTCATATAACGCTAGTGAGCCTTCTTCCATGATAACTGAGAATCCTTTCTTGACCAGCTGACTAATGCTCACCAGATTACATTTCATACTAGGGACAAATAACACATCTTCTATCAATGTTGTTTTGCCTTCCTTACTTTGTATGACAATCATGCCCATGCCTTCTGACATTAAGCTTATTTTATTTGCCAGCTTCACACTTGTCTTCTTGTTTGAGTTAAAGTCAGTCAACCACTCATTGTATCCATTCATGTGATTAGAACAACCAGAGTCTAAGTACCACATATCAGAATTTGGAGCCCCTTCAAAGGTTGTTATCATCAACATGATAGGATTTGAATTTGAATCATCTTGCACCATTTTAGCTTCTTCTACACCAGTATTTTGCTTTCCCTTTCCAAACCAACAATCTGAAGCAAAGTGATCGTACTTCTCACAGTTGAAGCATTGATCTTTCTCTTGTCTTGAAACTTTTTCTTGTTTTGAAGTTTACTAGATCCTCCTCCTTCTTTAGAGGAATCAAATCTTTCTTCAAACTTCTTCGTCTTCTTATTGTTATCTGGTGTGACTTCTTGTTGGTGCTTTCCTTTTCCCTGCTGCCACCTTCTCTTTATTTCATTAGAACCTCCCTTTCTTGAATGAGCAATCAGGGTCTGTTTAGAATCTTTATATATCTCTCTTTTATTCAGTCTCAGTTCTCTGGCTTCAAGGGATCCTTGTAGATCTCACATCTTTATTGTTTTCAGATCTTTGGTTTCCTCAATTGTTATTACTGTCATATCATATTTAGAAGCGAGACTTCGAAGTACCTTTTCGACCTTCATTTACTCAATCAACATCTCTCCATAATTCTTCAACTGGTTAATTAATTCTTGAACCTTTGTGAAAAAATATGATATATATTCGCAATTTTTCATATTGCTTTTTCAAAGACTGAAGACGCACCTTCTTGACCTTCACATCTCCACAATAGTACTTTTACAGCATATCTCATGCTTCTTTCAAAGTTGCAGCATGAGCTATTTTATCAAACACTTTCACTTCAACGCATTAGTGGATGTAAAATAGAGTCTTTGGATCTTTTTTCTTGGATTCCTTGCATGCTGCTTTTTGAGCATCTGCCCCATTTTCTGCAAGTGGTTGAAGCCCTTTTCCTACATACTCGGACACATCTTGAATGTTAAAGATGACTCTCATCTGAATGTACCATTTTTTCCAATTCTTGTCATCAAAAACTAAAGATTTGTAGGGAAGTTGTTGTCGCCTATTCCAACCATGACTATAAATACTATTAATTATGGATATCAAGTGGTCTCGTAATACCATATGTTGGTGTCATCACATCTTAATAATTCAGAAGTTAATTGAAAGAAAGATAAAAAAAAGTATTGGAATGGAAGGAAAGAAAGAGAATGATAAATATTAAACGAGAAAAAATTCTATTTTTAAAAAGTTGTTCCAAAAGTAGATATTATATGTAGTAACTAACTGACTAAACTGAATTAATTTATTGACAATTTTTTAAGCCTATTGCTCAAGCTAGATCAGTTACCACTGCCAACACACCAACATAGTTCCCTCTAGAGCAAATGACACATGCTATGCATATTCTCAAACAGGATGAGAAGGTTGGAGGCCTCATCTTCACTTTTATTTATTGAAAAATCTGCAATCAGTATCATTAACGGTCCCAGTGACTGGGTTTCCAGCTCCAAGTCAACAATAATTACATTTCCTATTTCCTATTGACCTGGTCAAATATCATCAACTCAGTCAAAAATGGTTGCATCTATAATCTCACCAACCATAGAGAACCACACAAACCATTCACCATGTTTTCACTCTCACATTGTCTCCTCTTTCTTTCATTCTTCACTATAATTCAACTCCTACTAGCATCACCTAACTGTCCATCTTCAATTTCCTGCGGATATCTCGGAAAAATCTCGTTTCCTTTCACAACCACACAGCACCCAAACTGTGGCATGTTAGTCATACACGGATGCGACGACTCCGAACCACAATCCAAAAAAACCATTCAAAACAACAAAACATGGTTCGATATCACCAGAATCGATCCCTTCACAATAACAATTAAAGACAACGATCTCCACGACATACTGCTAAAAAGAAGTTGCGACATTCTAAACTACAATTCTATGTTTACTGTCAACACGCCTCTGGTTTCATCTCGCTTGGCCAATTACATAACCGTTTACGGATGCAACAGCAACAACACAGTTGATCTTCAACAGTACTATTCTGTTTCTAATTCCACTTCCATCTGTAGAAACGAGAATGATTCTTTGAATGCTGTTTCGGATTCGGATATCAAGAGTAATAAAGCTATTGTGGTTATAACTGATTCTATTCCTGCGAATTCGAATCATCTCAGAGGATGTTCAAGGGCCATGATTTCGACAAGTTTTGAAGTTAAACGTCTTGATCCGGATGATCTTTTTAACTCCTTAAGTGATGAAATTACTATCAAATTAGAAGTTTCTCAGAATTGTTCTACCTGTCATGATCTTGATGGAGGTCAATGCCGTCTTGATAACTACGGACAGTTTTATTGTCAACAAGGTACTGAAATTTTTATGTTATATGCAACAAATTTCAATCAATGATATCAATCATTTTATTTTATCTAATTTAATTGTATAAAAGTTATGTTTTTCTTATCTGAGTTCATATTTCATCAACAATTATGTTTTTTTTATTTCACAGGGAAATCTAAAAAGACTCGTCTAGCGGTAGCAGGTATATAGTAAATTAAATCTAATAATGTTTTCAATTTTTTTTTATCTTGAGATTAAATATGAAAATATATTATTAGATTTCTGATAAACTATGCAGTTGCACCTTCCACTGGAGCAGTTGTAGTTCTAGCAATTTTGGGTTGGTTCTTGAGAAGGCGTTTTATCCGCAACAAAAACTCACCATACCAAATAATTGAGTTGTTTCTGAAAAACCATGGCCATCTTGCTGCTAAAAGATACAGTTATGCAGAGATAAAGAAAGCAACAAATTCATTCAAAAACAAACTTGGTCAAGGAGGATATGGCAGTGTATATAAAGGAAAATTACAAGATGGAAGTCTCGTGGCAGTAAAAGTATTAAGCGAATCCAATGGTAATGGCGAAGAATTCATTAACGAGGTTGCTAGTATTAGTGTCACTTCTCATGTTAACATTGTTAGTTTATTGGGATTCTATCTAGAAGGCTCTAAAAGAGCTTTGATATATGATTACATGCCTAATGGATCACTTGAGAAGTTCATATATGAAGATAAAGACCCATTAAAGCTAAATCTTCAATTGAGTTGCAAAACTATCTACAATATTGCAGTTGGAGTTGCTCGAGGATTAGAGTATTTGCATAAGGGTTGCAATACTAAAATCTTGCATTTTGATATAAAACCTCACAATATATTGTTAGATGATGATTTTTGTCCTAAGGTTTCGGATTTTGGACTTGCAAAAGTATGTCCAAGAAAAGAAAGTATTATATCTTTGTTGGGCGCTAGAGGTACCGCAGGATACATTGCTCCAGAAGTGTTTTCTAGAAATTTTGGCGGTGTCTCTCACAAATCCGATGTTTATAGCTATGGAATGATGGTTTTAGAAATGGTTGGGGGGAAACAGAATAACAATGTCGTTGAAGTTGAACGGTCGAGTGAGATTTATTTTCCACATTGGGTTTACAAGCGTCTTGAACTGAATCAAGAACCTAGATTGCGGAGCATTAAAAATGAATTTGATAAACAAATTGTTCAAAAGATGATTATTGTAAGCTTATGGTGCATCCAGACTGATCCATCACATAGACCTGCAATGAGTAAAGTTGTAGATATGATGGAAGGTAGCTTGGAATCTTTGCAAATACCACCAAAACCTTGTCTCTTTTCACCTCCTAGATCTCCCTCAAGATCATCAGATTATAACACTCATACATCTCAGGATTTGTATCATTCAGGTATTTAAAGTACTATGTTCTTAATATTATATTATTATTAATTTAAATGCAGTCTTATTTTTTCATTTTGATGCATTGTTTATTTGCAATTGCAGGCTCACTTCAATACACTGATTCTGAACCTCTAATCATTACACCTTAGTAGAGCTAGTGGGAGAACACAATCCCTCGAATAAAACATAGAACAAAACAATATTGTTGTCAAATGCATGAGGCTCAGGCAAAAAAGTATAGTAGTTACCGGATATAAATTAGTTACATTTATTAGTTGAACTAGTTAGTTCATTAGATAGATTAGGTGATTCTTCTTGGTTGAACTAGTTAGTTGTGTAGTTAGATGGTTAAGTTGTTTTCATTGATTATATAAATATTTGACTTCTTCAATTAACAATTGGGCTCCCATCTTTAGTTTTGGTATAATAATTGACCAAAAGAGTGATATTGTTACCGCCAAGGATAAAGTAAGTGTTTCTTCTGGATTGTTGAATTTCAATTATAAATTGTTTGTTGGGAAACATGTTCTTGACATTGTGCTTTCCAATGTTTTTAGTATTGATGAATCTGATTTCAATTATAAATCACATTCTCAAGGCTCTTATAGATGAGGCCAAGGCGTTGCAGGAAATCATCCTCACATACACTGCGAGAAAAAGTGTCTGTGAAGACCCTATTAAAATGTTAAGTCTGCAAATTGCTGATGATTCTTCATCTCAGGTTGCTATTAAAGATGTTGTGATAATGGGATAAGATGAAGACATGTCAAGTGCTAACGAAAAAGATGGTGTTGAGTATGCAATTGCCTTATATGATGATTCCTCTTCTTCGGGTTACAAGAGCATAGATTTTATCAAAATCCATACATTCTTGTTGAATGTATCCTTTGGCAACAAGTTTTGTTTTGTCTCTCACTAAAATGTGATCGGAATGGGAGAGAAATAAAGAGATTTTTAAAAAATATTTAAAGAAAAACTTTAGAAAAAAAGAGATTTTCAAAAAATAAAATCTTCTGTAATTTTCAAAAAATAGAAATTAATTTAATTTTGTTGTCCAACAAGTATAAAATATTAATTTGGTTAAAAATATATTTATACTTATCTGATTCTAATAATTGAATTTAAATAAGAATATGAATAATTTGAATATCCGATTAAATTTAGCACCCCTAGCAGTAGTTACGTGCTAACCTGATCTCAAAGTATCACTTCTTTTTATGTTTCCATCAGAAAAATAAAAAATCATTTAGTCTATAACTTCAAGATATCGTTTCCTCATAACTCTTCTGTTTCATTGCACTAAACATAGTGCTAGTTATTGGATAGAGCACACAAAAAAAAACTAAACATAGTGCTGGTTCTTGGATAGAACATAAAGAAATAACTAAACATAGGAGACCAACCATTGGTACTCTATTCAATCAAATTGCACCAATAATCATATTAAAATAACCTTCCAGTATATTGATAACAATCTCACTATCAAACAGTTCAAGCACGTCTGAAGTTTTGAAGTAGACTTCTAGTAACATCATATCATATTACATAAAAGCTCATTTAAATTCTAACTCAGATATAGGCAACATGTCTATTTCCTGAATTTGGTTTTGGTAGTACACTGCACTAATACAGCAACACCAACAAGAACACCAGCAATAAGAAATGAAGATTTCCTTGAACATAAGCTGCAACTAGTGTAACCCCATATCCATCGAGATAGAAAATGCAGCCCACAGGTATTTTTGAAATTCCGGATTGAAAAATCCTAAGGTAGATGCAGCATGTTCGGTCAGTTTCAACAAGATAACATCCAATCTTACAAGCAATTCCTTTCTACAAGCTATATATATTGACACAACTATTGCATGCAGTTCTTTTTATACGGGGCCATTTCAGTGCAAACAATGGACTTTGAGGATAGAGCTACAAATTTCTCAGTGAGCCAGCTAGTGCAGCTGTACTGTACACATCTATAATTTACCCAACATGTCACCAAATTCATCCACACTGGCATAGAAAGTTTCTAGAGAGAAATCCTGCACATTTTCAAAGAATTGTCCAAGTTTTACTGAATTTGGAGTGTAAGTATCAAACCCATGGTGGACATCGCATAGTGAAACTAATTAATAACAATATTATAAAATAAAAGTATCAGTCCTAGTACAAGTTTATAACACCAAAAAAACTAAAGCCTTTTCCCCAAAAATATTTCAACATAGATCAAATGACATCATAATTTCCTATTATGAATCATATTTAGTGAAAGACGATTTAAATCTAAATCCTTATTTGTGACATAAAAAAGTGGTGTAATAGTCCCAGAGTAGGTAAAAATCTCAGTTAAAGAAGACTGCAGAGAGAGATGCAGTGAATGTAAATGGCAAGAACCAGAAACAGAAAGCCGAAAAGGCCAGAGGTCACAGGCCTTATATGCCCATAGGAAAGGTGGGGTTTTCAGTTTTCACCAATATGTATCAAGGATTGGTCGAAGATGTTTTGGGCGTTCGAAGCTGGAAGTATATTAGTTATTACCTTTGGTAATTTATGTTGCTGAGCAAGATGATCCACATGAAGCCTCACATTTGATGATGCAGCAATCCAGGCACGTCGGTCAACATTAGAATATACATATGCAACAATCTCAAACAATGTCTTTGCTCCACCTTCAATAGCTTTTAAGATATTAGCTTCTCTACTCCTACGATTCCTGAAAAATAATTATAACCATCCCCTTAGCTGGTGACCCTGAAATAAAATACCAAGTATGACTACATTGTTCTGTCAATGGAAGTCATTGATGGGTTAGTACTTAAGATATTCGCACAACATGTGCTTTGGCCAAACATTAATTCTCCCATGCATTGGTATCAAAGCATGTGGTGAAAGCTCCAGAAATTTGTATGTGGTTTGAAAGTATTCCTGTATATATCAATTATATTAGGCAAACGGACATTGAATATAGTATTTTAGGTTGCATAGAATGCGGCATTCTTTTCACACTTACAGACATATTTCCACCAGCACTTATGTCCAAGAGAGCACTTCCCTGACTGGAGCAAAATGAATTAATGTATTAGTAGAGTGGAGTAATTTACACAAGAACATTGAAAATGATGTAGGTCTAAAAAATATTGGAACTGAAAGAGGAAACTATACGGCTTTGACATTAGAGAATATGCCAAAAAAATAGCATGCCATAGTCAAACTATTTATCTCTCTGAATTAGAACAAGGTAGAAAATCTATTCCCTATAATTTTGAAAAGAACAGTTTTTCATAGGTAAATCTAACACAACGATCATCTTGTGATTGTGTATCCCTCATGGGCAACTATTGGAGACTCTTTTCTCGAGTTGGGTAGAATCACATGGATACAATTCTCTCTTTCTCTCAAGGGTTTTCACGTTGTTGCATTCCCAAGCTTAGATTCAAACTAGAGACCAATGTTGCTGTCAGCTAAATTGTCAGTATAACATTAGTTATTGTATTGGCTGTCAATAATTAGCATTATTTATCGCTTAACATCAGTTTTATTTTATATACTGACATCATTGATTCAAGATTCTCTTCCCAATGTAATGCACATATGAGGGTCCATTTTTCTCCCTCAATTATTTTCTAGTTTAGCTAACACAGTCTTCTTTATTTTTCAAATGCAAATTAAGTTAATTTCCACAGTATCACGATTCATAAGATATAAAACTCCGCCAACTTGTTTGATAGATATTCTTTTTGTTTGCAATCAAAGTATAGACACAATTAATAATACTGAAGAAATAACTCCCTATGCACTCTGAAAGAGAAGAAAAAACATCATAACAAAAGAAATAGTTACTAAAGTTTCAAGTATCCACAAGTGTCCAGCCAAAACTTATTCCAGATAAGGTATTAAAAGGTATGGAAAGTTTCACAACAACCCAAATGACTCATGAAATTTGAATGTGTATGTATATTATGTCCATTCTTTTTAATATGTAGTACATGTATAAAATGGAATCTTACCCTACACAGTGATCACCTACAATTAAGGAATGTGTGTTCACATGAAGCAATGCCATATGGCCATCTGTATGTCCCTGAAACAAAAAGGATTTAATTTTCAACAGAAAACAAAACCGATGTAATACTTCTCTCACCACACTTATGATTCCAATACAAACTTAATTAAGAATTCAAGTAGAGTTTAATATGGCTTTTGATAGTCCTATTTTTTGTCAAAAATCAATTCAAACTTAAAAGGGTTAAGAATTCAAACCCTAAACAAAACCAATTTTATAATTTCCTCCACATTTATGATTCCAGTACATACTCAGTTATGAATTCAAGTAGTGCTTGATATGGTTATTTTGTCAAGAATCAATTCAAACTTAAAAAAGTTACTAGGAGATAGTCATGGATGGTATTTGGTTTACACCTCTGAGACAATCTTCTGAAGCATGGACAAAGCACAAGTTCATTGTTAAGAACCAATTCAACCAAAGCATTATGTATTAAAATAAGACCATCAATGATTTTATCAGGCAATTCTAACATATATTTTGTGAAAGTTTTCCATCCTATATGGTAAAGTAAATAAAAGAAGTAGATATGTCATTATCCTGGTCATACATACTAAAGCAAAATTTACAATTTTTAAATGTATATTATGGAGCCAAGGTCAAAAAATTGAAGTTAGTAAAACCCAACTACACAGTACATGAAACATGGCAGACTGGAACATGCTATAATCTTTAAAACAAGTGAAAAAATACCGGTGCAAAAATAACTTTTAATTTCTGACCACCAACGCAAATGTCTTCATCTCCAGAAACCGAGGTATAGCTGAGTGACCAATCATCTGTAATCATAGAATATCCAAATATCAGTTTATTGGCACAGTGAAGTTATTTTGGATCAGTTTAAAAATCTAGAAGAAAAAAAATTAAAAGCTAATCTGAAAAAAATACAAGTAGAAAAGACTGATATAACAGCATAGAATTGTGCAATAGAGCTTTCTTGCGTATTGTGCAACAGAGCTTTCATACTTACTTTCAGAAGCAAAAAAGGAAAACCGTGTTTACATAATGACCACAAAAACATTATTGAAATAGAAACAACTAAAGAACATTATAACCTTTACTTATGCGTCGCATGGTATTCTCATGCGCTAACAAAATTGCATCGGGATTGCACTTCTGTATAACCGAGAGACCTGTTATAAACAGTTAAAATACACTAGAGTTAAAAATATTATAGTCACAATTTTATTTTATTTTTAAAACGTTTAACCTTAAGTTTTCAAGTACAAGAATATATCCATCACAGACAATAGTTTTTGCCATAATAAGAGAAAAAGTGATGATTCATGAAATACACTTGAAAGCAGAGCTACCAAATATTAGAGTATGTCTTGCTGCTTATTGGTTCTGACTTAGTTTTGGTGCAGATGACAAATTAAAAACGAATATTTATGATGACTAACTCACTATTATCGCCTATACTCAATGCATAACCTGAATATAAATGAACACATTCTTACTAATTTCTTAGCAAAGACTTACCATCTACATGGTCTCGATGATGATGGGTAACAAAGACCACTAATCTTCTTGGCAAAGCAGTAACAATTTTCTTTAGCTGATAATTACAGAATAACATGCTAAGATTAAATTGAAAAAAAAAAATTCCACATTAATTCCTCAAGAGTCATACAGCTCAAATCTGAAAAAATTTTAGACATTAAAGTCAAACAAATAAGACTAGCTATTGCTTTTGCTGTCAACAAGTAATGTCAAGATATACTAATTACTAAATAGTCATAACAGAATGGATCTAGTATGAAATGAAATCCATCCCATGAGCATGGAACAGAAAACAGAAAGATAAAAGGTTATTCAAAGGCTGAAATGACACGTTGCTAAATGCAGAAGTTTGCATGTTATACAGAAGTATAACCTCTCCGTGGAATTCTGACAGGCATCCTGGATCAACTATTAGTGCATCTCCAGAAGCAATGTATTTATTATCCTTGGAAGCATTTTGAACATTTTCAGGTGCAAACACCACCAAGTTAGTAGTTTGAAAAGGCCTTTCTGTCCTACTTCCCATAGGAATGAGTATAACACCAGTCGGGTACTCCTGAAAATGAAAATAAATCTTACATCTGTAACAGATTGTTACCATAATGACTTTGGAAAATAAATGGCTTCCGCTATCTCCATTACTTGTGTGTGAATATCAAACTAGAGCTATAATATCTAGTAGAGACTCCACCAAAAAAGTCATATGCAGGTCGTTTGAAATTTTGTCCTGATATTAACAATGAAAGCTTCTCCTAAATCACTACTTCCAAATTTATTCCTGAAATTGCAATTCCCAATAAATGTCCAACCACTGAAACAGAGAAAAAATATAAAAAGCAAACCTGGTAATTTATGGCTGGAGGGACTTTCCGGTTTGCAGAAACAGATGAGTCATTTATAAGACCAACAACTATCAATGGTCCAACACGATCACCATGAGGAATCACTTCCAGAAGCCAGTTAAGACAGCTTTGAATGGACATCCATTTATACGTATCTGTATATAAAGCTTTAGTTTCTAGAAGTAATAAATAACATGCATTTTTGACACATGGCATTAAAATTTTTACTCCATCTATCACACAATGACTTACCCATTTATAATAAAAAAAATACAATCATCCCAAAATGAATGACCTTTTTGATTTTTAATACAATATTGATTGTTTTTCAATTGTACTATCTAATAAAATATTACTTGCATCACTTCAAAGTCAATATCTTCCACTTTGCATTTATGGTAGCGGTGAATACAGCAGTACCTAATATGGATAGTTTTATAAAAGTGCTATTCTCTCTCTTTCATCTATACATTTTTTTAATTTGTGTGAAATGCTCAAGTAGGTCTAGGACGGAGGTAGTAAATAATAACAAGAAGGAGAGCAAAGATCAACACTGCATGAAAGTAAACATTCAGATTGATTTAATGAATGGGTTGCAATTCATTTAAACTACCTAAACCACTTGTAGATACTACAGTAAAAAGGAGAACTCATCGGTGGTTAAAACATTTGCAAAACGAAACCAGACTCATTTTTTTCATTGGGACATCAATCGACCACCATTTATTCAAAAGAAACAAGAAAACAAATATGTTGGAATATGAACTTCAAAACCTTCAAGCCTCTCTCAAACTCTCAAAAAAAATAATAAAAGAAGCTTGAGTAGTTGTTCTGAAAGGCCAGAGAAGAGAATACTGCAGATATGCAAAATATTAAACCCCTGAAACGTCTCCCAATCTGCACTTATTATTTGTTATATTCCCATACATAGACCTAGATAGATATAGATATACTCTGAACTCTGATTTTGTTATAAACACGGTTGACAATTGACACCGAGCCCGCTAAAGAGGGAGGTTACCTTTTATATAACATCTATCTCTATCTTTCTCCGAACCTATTCACTTTCTCTCATTTTCTCAGTTATTATATTTCAAACTTGATATCACGAGCTCTACCGATCCAAGCCCAATGACTATAGAGCCAAGAACTTCGATCGAATCACCAGAATTTGGTCAAGTAGATTAGAAAATTTTACACCAGTGGCCAGATCTAGTGCTGAAGATGACTGACTATCACATCTTGCACTCAAGAAACCAAACGCATGAAGCTAGTATTTTATTAAGAGAACTGGTCTAAAATAACACTCTTGAAGTCTTCCGCGTTCCTTCCTAAGGGCTAGGAGCAATATGCCGACACCCTTACTAAAGATTTTCATCTCAAAGGTTCATCTCCGAGACAAACTAAGGGTCTTTGACTACTTTACTCTCACTCACCAACCCTGAACTTTCAAGGGGGAATGATACGTTAGGGTCTGCTTGGTAGGTGGATTTAGGAAGGGGGAACTTGTTTTTCTTTTCTAAATTACTGAAGCTATAAAATGTTTCTTAAAATAAATAAAGTGTGATTGAATTGTTATATGATCAAATGTCATGGTATTCTTTCAACATTTTTAAATTCTAGATCTAGCTCTTTAAAACTCTCCCCTCCAAAATCCATCTCCCAAACAGACTCTTAGAGTATATGAAAATTGTAACAGCCTTTACATTTTGTCGATTGCTTAGTTACTTAGCTGTTTTCATTCCCATGTTTAGTTAGCTTCTGATAGTTAGACGCAGAGATATAATAACAGGATCATACATCCAATCAATTATCAATTATGGTATAGATTCTATTAGGCCTCAAGCATCTATAACTAACAAGTTTCTTTGACCTCTGTAAATATGATTTCTCTGCAATCCAGAGCCTTTATTCAAATAATATACAGATTCACTTTCTCCCTCTCTCACTTCTCAGAAACCATTTCACTTACTCTCATTTCTGTTCATTTTCTCAGTTATTCCTACAATTATATGATCTCTCAAATACAGCTTCCCAATGCATACAAAATTTCTAGCACATATCCCAAATCATACATTTCTAAAAACAAAAACAATAACCTCCAATATCAACTACAAACAAATTCGAAAAACAAGCAAACCTGATAACTCCTTGACCTCATCTACTAGTTTCCCAATAATGAAAACTGTGTTAACAGGCAAACCAGGTCCGAAGGCCGCTTCCTTCACATACTTATGCAACTTCCACTCTACCCTTTCAACCGTCCCAAACCCTAATTGTCCAAACACCTAATTACAAAACCATTAAACATCAAATTCATCACTACAGAACCACAACGATTCAAAACATACCGAAGTTCAATAACACTACCTCGTTAAGAGCAGAACGGATATCAAATTCCCTGATATCGAACTCCTCAGAATGTGAATCGGAAATTTCTACCTCAACCAAGGGTTCCGATTGTTGTTGCAGTGGATTCAATTGCACGGAAGGCAAGTCCCAGAGATCAGAATCAACTAGAGAATCGTATTCTTCATCGTTGAATTTGGGAGGACGTGACTGCTTCACGAGGAGAAACTCGTTTTCGTTTGAAGGATTTTGGATGATTAACGCGAGTTTGTGAGTTGCCATTGCCAGAGGAAGTGAAAATGAGTTTAGCTGAGCGAGGTTCAAACAACTACAACTACTACAACCAACTGAACATAAAAGAAGTGTAATAAACGTCTTTTTTTAAAGCATTTAATAACCGTTTTATTTCATCCAGTTTAGATGAATATTCAGTTTAACGCTATAATTCAATAACCGCTTTATTTGATCGCTATAAACCAAAATTAATTACTATTATTAGTTGAGATGTAGAATTGACATGAATGATGTTGAAGATGGAGTTTGATGAAAGGTGGGTAGGTTGATGAATGAATGAATGAAGTTGTGTGCTCAAATTGTTAGTTGAAATCGCTAGCTACTTTGGGGTCATCAAGTCTCTTTTAACAATTCTTGCTTTAATTTTGGGAAATGTACACCACATTTCTAAAACTTAAAAATAATATTGATATTGTGTTCGAAGATGCATCTTTAGACATATGTAAAATAATATTAGTTGTCGTATTTCATTCATACACTCTAATTTTTGTTAAAATATAATTTGGAGATGTATCTCCATAAATTTTATGGAATGTAGATGTATCTTCGTAAAACTCCTTGAATTCATTTAAAGATATTAAAAACGTGTTTATTACACGTGACAGGAAAATATTTTGGAGATGTATCTTTAGAAATTTTTTGAATGCTTTCAAGTAAGCAATAATGTCCCAACATTTACATTGTTTAGGTCAACTTATATTTTAAGTCATTTTAGACCATAAATTAAAAAACTGATACATTAATTGATTCAAACATGTTACACATACATTTAAAAAGTTACATATTAATTAAAGTAAAATTAAAATGTACCGATCATACATAATTTGTTCTAAAAATACAAAAAAGTAATACAACCAAACATAAACTATTGAGTATGTCTAACTTCTTGCCTTCTTCGTCTGTACTGCAAGGCATTCTGTGCCTCGACAATAATGACATCTATGAGGGCCGACTGGGGATTGCCTTTCTCAAAAAGTCTGCTTTTATGTCTGATCTCGTTATATTCATAATGCGTCAACAAACACTACTTATGTCCTGGGTGTGGTCATTCATAACCTCTAGTACCTCCTGATTAGAAGGTCTAGGTGGTCTTCCAAAAGCGTATGGTGCCCTGATAGGATGTAACATCCTATAAAACCATGTCATGTAGTCGTTTGCATAAGCCTAATGTATAGGAGCTAACACCTTGCGGTTGTCCTCTGGTACAAATAACTCTCAAAATCCTCCAGTATCACATCAAGATCTCGATGGCAGACGGTGGGAGGAGCGGACTCTGAGGAGTGTCTCAAAATTATCTACAAATACTCAAACTGGCATATCACTCGTTGGGCAGATACAAATACATCATACCTGACCCACATGTCAATCATCCACGGTATAACGAAATAACATCCAATTGAGGTGTTTGGTGGTGACTTTCGTGTGGGCATAAGGCAATGTCATCTACTATATGTTGGTCAAGATACACTCAAAATGGCTCGATCGCCTGATTCCCTCTAAGTGGGGCAAAGGCTACAACACGTGGTCAATCCTTAGTGTAGTCAGGTATAAGTTCTCACCTAGAGATGCAAGGAAAGTGGGAAATAATTCATCCCTGAAAATGGTTCTGGTAAAATATTAATAACAAGTGTAACAAAAGAGTTATGAAAATATTAGTAATAGTAAGTTACCGTTAGCAGCGTGCAACTTTATGTCATATGTTTTGTCTTCCAAAGACAACCATCATCCAGCTTCGAGTACAGGTAGACAAAATAGGTGCCCCCTTAGTTATACTCGTAAATTGTCGTCAAGTCGATGAAGTATTTAAGATAGACCGCATCGATGTAGGTTTCACTTTTGTTCATAAACATGGATGTGTCAACCAGGAACAAGAGGTAACACCTTAATCCACACTATCAGTGGTACTCAACAAGTTGGGGTAGAAATGGTTTGGATTCAGGCGGGTTTGGGCCCAAAAACTCCAATTGACTCAAATCGCGGGTGTATAATCCAAACTTAATTCCGCCCAAGAACTAGACTCAAATCATACAGGTAGGTTTGTAGTTTGTGGTTTAGCAAATCGGTTTAAGCGGTTGAGTTCTTCAACAGTCAAAAAAAGGGAATATAGTAATAAAAGAAAAAAAATCAAAATTTGTATAAATCGTGTCATCTCCAATTTTTTTAAATAAAAAATAGATAAATTAAATATGGATTTATTTGTATCTTGAAGATTCATATTATCAACAAATAAAAATGAAACCTTGAAACAAAAGAACAAATATATTGTGAAGAATAAAAAACAATAAACTTAGTGCAAATGATAGTGAATGTATTGTTTTGAAAGCTAAATTTAACAAATATTGATTGTTAGTGTGTGTAGTAGTGTTGAATCAGAGCCATTCAAAAATTATAGTGACAGGGGTGAAGGAGATGTAATAATTATGGTGATGGTGAGTGAGAAAGAAAGTGGAGAGGAACATGTGTGTGTGTGTGTGTGTGTGTGTGTGTGTGTGTGTGTGTGTGTGTGTGTGAAGTTAAAAGATGTAGAAAAAATATTATATTGGTTGTTTATTCAATTTGACTAGTCACACTGGTGTGAGAGAAAGGGATTGGTGAGAGACCTAAAGTTGTTAAGATTCATTGTACCTTAAATCAATAATGTGATTATGTATGCTCACACGGGTCGGTTCAACCATCGACAATTTGATTTTTATCATCCAATCCTGCCCAACTCAACCCACTTAAATCGGTAAAGTTGGGATTTATTACCTGTTAACCCATAATGACCCCCCCCCCCCCATTTATCAGAAACTCGATTTGTTGGACCGGTTTTTGATAACTTTGTGGGTCTTGTCCACCCCTATCAACCAGCATGTCATCACCTTTGGCATCTAGATTCATATGCAGATGGTATTTATAAAGTTCTTCCAAAAAATTTAATTTAGCATTAGCACATCTGGTGTTAGCTACCTCATTCGTTGCCTCAACGGTCCAATAATTTTCCCATAATGGAAAGACGCAAGAGGCATGAGATGTCATCCAGGGTGATGGTCATCTCGCTAATAGGAAGGTGGAAAGATGAGATATCTGAATGACATCTCTCTAAAAACGTCGTGTGCATGCCATGGTTTATGGTAGTGTACGCAGTATCACATAAACCGACAACACCATGGTGGCAGATAACATTCTTGACCATTCAGCGTCGAGTTGATCCAAATCCAATATCTTCTTTCTTTGGTTTAGGGATTTTAAACATGGATGTTCATATAAGAAAAGTATCACCATCAGTCGCGATTAAATTAATTTAAAATAGATGTAATGCTAAGGTAAACAAATATACCTCTTCTTCTCAGACATGTCTAGCAGCATGGTCTCCATAGAGATGAAATAAGGTGGTGTTAAATAGTCCTCCTGGATAACTATCAATAGGGGCATTAGAAACGAGTTCCTTCTGGGCTTCAGGGGCTTCATGAGCTGGGGATATGTGGCCTCGTGAAGTAGGTGTATGAGACAGACGACTACAGGAAGTAGAACTAAATTGTTGTGAACCTAAACCTTGTGAACCATTAAATGAGGTATCATCGACTTGTGGCCCTGCCTCTGGCCCTCTCACATCGTATAGATGCATATTGGGACACACGGTCGAGCCTAATTTTGTCCTAGTTATTTTTCATCCGTACTTGTAATAAAACCAAAAAGTTGCACAAAAATTCAATAAAAATTCCGCCAGGTATAAATTCAGAGATACATCTCCGAAAATATTACAGAGAAAATCTGAAGACACGTCTCCGGATGAACTCGTGATTTTCAGCAATGGCAGAAATTTCATTGTTGCCTTAACCTCCAAGCAAATGGCAATGCATGTCTATATCAGCTACTTATTTCTATTGTACTTCTTTCTAATTCAACTTAAACAACATGTGTTACATAAAATATAATTTAAAACACAAAAAATAAATAATGAAATGAGAAACTTATCAAATTTGAGTTGTGGATAAGAAGCTTGAATGAAGTGAGTAGCTTTGCAGCAAAAGAAGTAAAATGTAGTGAGTGAACTAGATGAAACTTGCTCAAATGGGGTTTGGAAATGGTTTGTAACAAAAGATCTCAAATGGAGTTTAAGTGACTTTTTAGAAAATGAAGGATGAAGAAGGAAGGGTCTAGCACAATTTTATGAATAAAACGCGTACAGAGATGCATATCTGTAAAACTTCCTGAATTTTGAATTAATGTTTATACTAAGATGCATCTCTAGACTCACCCTTATGTTATAAGAAGATACATCTCAAAATTAAATTTTGGCAAAATTAGAGCGACTCATCCATTTGCGCCGAAGAATCTGCAAAAAAAAAATGTACGTATGGAGATACATCTCCGAACGGTAGAGGCAGTTATGGCTTTTTACCATGGTGGAGGAAAACCCCTAAAAATGAAAAAAATAACTCCCTTTTTTTAAGGTTTTTGTTTTTTTTACTTGCTAATAAAAAAATACTAGTAAATTTTTAAAGTAAACATATGTGTGTATTTTATGAAAATAGTTATAATATAAATAATTTATTTTTAGTACTTTTTAAAGTTTTTTTATTTCAAATTAATATATATTCTCTTTTTATATATTAAAAGAGATTTAAGATTTAGTTATCATGAAAGAGATGAAGATGAAATTGAAGATTTTGTCTTACCACTCTCTATATGTACTTAGCATCCCATTGCAGTATTTTTACTATATTACTTTGCACATTTTAATCGTCATATTTTAATTATTTTTTTTAAAGTTGTATGATTTATCGGACATTTTGAACTAGCTATCATATTTTTACAAGTTGTGTTTTTACCGACAATTTACATTTTATATCGCTTTTTTTTTAATGTCTGGTAAAAACTCATATTTCTCATGTATTTTTTGTCGGTGCTAGTCCTTTTGGGATTTGCTTAATCATGCAAAACAACACAAAAAAATTTCAAGTTGTTTCAAGTTCAGAAGGGACACATGTGGAACATGGTGTTCT